TATTTTGTTTTGGGAAAAACTGCGCTGCTCAAACCTTCTTCATAATTTGTCCTTGAGGGATAATGTCTCGCTGGCAACAGAAGGCTCTTGTGTATTCCATAGCCTCTTTCCCCTTAAAAATTCACCCCCCTCCTCACATCACTGTTTTGCAAAATGCGAGTGAAAGCAACAGCATGGAGTCGAGCTAAGTTTGACACCCGATTCGGGGAATTTAGGCATAAGTTCTATCTCTGCAGTGGCCTCTCAAGGGTTTTTTTTTTGCTTCTGAAATATCTGGGAACAAAACCCAATCATTCCCTTTTAAATCCAGGTAGTCCTCAACTTGCAACAATTCATTTAGTGACCATCCGAAGTTACAATGGCACTGAAAACGGTGACCTATGACCATGTTTCACACTTACAACCATTCCATTGTCCCGTTGGTCAGATGATCAAAATTCAGACGTTTGGTGACTGACCCGTATTTATGATGGCTGCAATGTCCTTGGCTCATGGTCCCCTTTTGCGACCGTCTGACAAGCCAAGTCAATGGGGAAGCCAGATTCACTTAACAACCAGGTGACTAATTTAACTGCAATGATTCACTTCACAACCGTGGCAAGAAAAATTATGAAATGGGGCAAAACTCACTTAACAAATGTCTCACTTAGCAACAGAAATTTTGGGCTCCATTGTGGTCATAAGTCGAGGACTACCTGGAAAAGGAATATCTATCCGTGGATATGTTTTTCCTTTTAGGTAATTTATAGCTGCAATCCCTTACAATTTTTGTTGTGCCAGTGCAGAACCACCAGAATTCTACTGCCAACATTGGTGCAGTGTGATTTTTTTGGGGTGGTGGTAGCATCTAGTTTTCAATTAATGTTTTAAAAGAAGTATGTTAAGTATAAAGTATGTTCTATGAGTCTGAATGCATGCATGCAGTCTCCCAGACAGGATAGCCTCCCCGCTCCCAAAGGTTTTGGCCCATCTTACTTTGGTGATATCATAGCTATACCTACGTGGTCCTTGAAGGTGAATGACACAAAAATAACAACAAATGGGTGATTCCAGCCCAAAAAGCATCATTTGTCCAACTTAGTGATAGATCTATCTCTATCTCTCTACCTCTACCTCTATCTCTCTATTTCTATCTCTCTATTTCTATTTCTATCTCTGTATCTTTATCTCTCTATCTCTCTACCTCTACCTCTCCATCTCTCTCTTTCTATTTCTATCTCTCTCTCTCTCTCTACCTCTACCTCTCTATTTCTATTTCTATCTCTCTCTCTCTCTCTCTCTCTATTTATCTCTCTCTCTCACCCCTTATCCCTATCCTATCCTATCTCTCTCCCTATCAGAATAGTCATTTACTTTAAGTCCTACAGAGAAAGTAGTTTTGGAATCTTGCTTAATGTAAAAGCTCACAGAGACTTCAAGTCACAAAGATTCAAAGGTCCATTTCACAACAAACCCTATGTCCTTGCAAGTAAATTTCCTAAAGTCTGTGACTCTTTGCCAAGTTTTAACATCTAGCCTCTGGTCAACAGAAGTACCCAAGATGTAACAGCAAACACATTGATGATGTCATTGAGACGAAGTGTTGATGCTTTACCCACTTGGCTAGCAAGGTCTTGCACATGACAAATTGAGTAATCACAAATCCATTGGAAGCACAAGAAGGGAACATGATTAGATTAAATAAATATTAGTTTTCCAAATGTCTACTTATTTTATGTCCCCCTTCCTTGTTTATTCTCTTTCCAGGACCCAATCAAGGGAACATGAAGGCAGGAAGCAAACATAAAACTATTCTTAATTTAGTCATGATAATGATATACATATAAAAACATATACATACTCACCTTCAATGGTAAGCAATGCTACACAGATTTCAGAAACAGAAGCAAAAAATAATAAGAACAAGAATTTAAAGGTTTGCAATAAAAAATTAAAAAGGAAGCATAGCAAAAAATAGAGAACATCAACAGTACTTCTTGTAACTTTCTACACTTGCAAATCATGCTTGTTTTCTTTATGTCAATAAATAATAACAGTTTTAGTATTGCAATGATAACAATCTTGCTCGTCTTTTTGCTCTGTATTGTTTTAATGTCAGACATTTAAATCATGTTGGTCCTCCCTTTTAAAAATCCCCTTTACCGCTGGTATCAAATCTTTCTCAATAGGAGCTCCACTGACTACGGAGCTAATATTTCTATAAGTTGTGGGTTTGTGTAGGTAAACGTATGTCCCATTTTGTGGTTCAATTAAGAGAATAGCATATGAAAAGTCTTCCTCTGGCTCAGAGCCAGAAAAAGTGTGTTTCCCAGTATCTTTGGAAGGGAAAGATTCATGTTTGAAACTCTCTGGGCAGTCAGTGTGATGTACTGTAGTGGTTAAGGAACTGAACTAGAATCAGACTAGAACTAGACTCTAGTTCAGCTTCACATGAGCTATAGAAGCCCATACAGGACTCTAGTCCAAGCTTCCTTATAATATAAGGTGGTGTAAAGGGATGTAGGTCCTAAACATAAGATGGAATATAAATGTTAGGGCACTGAAAGTCCTGAAAAGAGGTGCTCTATAAAGCACGCTAGCATGATCAAAGCAGCCCTCTTCACACCATTAAAGCAGCTAGGTCTGTTAGAATTGCTGGGGTGGCTGCACAACACTTCCTGTACAGTCTTTGGAGCAATTATGAGAGCTTTCAAAACAATTCAGCTACTTTGAGAGATCTGCTTTGCTCACACAAATAGGCTTTGCAAACCATCTGCTTTTGAATCACACACAGATACACAGACACAGACACACACATAAACACACACACAGGAATCAAAAGTCAGCACCCTTCCTTGACAATAGATTATATAAATTACTAATGGCAAATTGGTTGCCATTTTCCTGTAAATAGTTCCTTATTTGTTGAGACTCATGACCTTTAGACATTCCGAAGGACAGTAACATTTTCGCTGGAAAAAAAAATCATATTGTGATTGGCCTATAGCAGTGGTAGGGAAACTTGGCTCTTCTATCACTTATGGACTTCAACTCCCAGAATTCCTGAGTGAGCCATAAAAAAAAAGCCATAAAATCTCTGGCCTACTGGTTTTTCAGTTGTGGTGGAAATCAATTTTTGACTTGAATGGGATTGTTTAATATACAAATGTAGGACATATTCTTTATATATATATTTATATGTCCTACATTTGTATATTAAATAGTCCCATTCAAGTCAAAAATTGATTTCCACCACAACTGAAAAACCAGTAGGCCAGGGATGGGGAGCCTTGTATGGCTCACTCAGGTATTCTGGGAGTTGAAGTCCATAAGTGATAGAAGAGCCAAGTTTCCCTACCCCTGGTCTATGGAGCCTGACTTTTGGCACATTCTGTACACACACACACACACACACACACACACACACACACACGTTTTGAATATCAACTCCAGCCAGTATAGTCCAGACTGCCCATAACAAGGAATTGTAATCTAAAACATAGTTACTAGGTGAGCCAGTTTGGTCTGGTGGTTAAGGCACCATGTTAGAAACCAGGAGAATGTGAGTCCTACTCTTTATTTAGGCATGAAAAACCAGCTGAGTGACTTTGAACGGTGTCTCTGTCTTTCTCAGCCCACAATGTCATGTTTGGGCAAGCCAGTTGGTCAATTCCTGCCACAGCCAAATGGAACAACACTTGGTTGATAAAAATAAAATAAATTCTGCACTTGAGGGAAAATGCTAACTTGTGCACTTACACAAAAATGCTAAGAAGAAAGAAAAGAAAAATTTGGTGCAGCAACTAATATGCTGGAAGGGGAGATTACCTGTTGAGTATAAAAACAATTCCGGTGTTACTCAAGCAAGAAAGAAAATTTTGTTGTACTGTGGAAATTTTACCAATGCTTCCCATCAGATGCACAACACAATTTCTATTATGTCAGTGCTCTGCACAGAAGCCGGATCTGTGCAATTTCCCCCGATTGAGGTAAATATGGAATTTTTGGGTTTTTTGAAATGTCTGTGTTTGCATGTTGTAATAACATTGCACAACAGTGTTTCAGACATAGAAACCAGGTCCTGCTCGTCCACCAAACAGGCATTTTGTGACTTCTTTTTCTCATCAAGGTAAATAGTTTTCAACGGATGTGTTTGGGTTGTCACTATCCATCAGGCCATTTTCAGAAACTTCTCAGTTCTTGCGAGGACCTCTTAGAAATACATTTCTGAAGTTCCTTTGACGTTTGTTGTAACAACATTTCAAAACTGTTGGTTCAAGGAAATGCTGGTTAAGCTTCCTTAAGCTGGACTACCCTTCCATCAAGGTCTGACTGGTATTGAGTGACACCTAGAAAGCCAAAGGTTTCATCCTGATCCTTCAATACAAATTGCAGGCCTTTTTGTTAGGGTTTTTGACAAAGATTCTTTCATGTATTCAGCGTCTGGAGCTTTGGCTGAAAAGCAGAAAGAAGGATGAGCAGTTGTGAGTCTTCCTTTTCTCTTCAGGTGACTATCTCAAATTGAGATTTTGGATTAACAGTAGTTAGTTTTAATTTAGGCTTAAATTGAGTGGCACGTTGTTACAGTAATATTTATCAAATATTTGTTACATTTAGTAAGGTAAATTCCACAATAATTGATTACCTGTCCGAGCAGCAGGCAGAGAGGTGGTGGTGGTGGGGAAGGCATGTATCCAAACGTGTTGTGCAGGATGCGGGAAAGCTGAGGTTGGTGGTGCAGAGCGGCCGGCCATGGGAGGCTCATTTTCACGCAGCAGCACTAGCAGCAGATGGAGGAAGAGACATGGGGGAAAGCAGGTGATCCTAACATGATGAGTGGGCCATGGGAAAGCTGAGGAAATACAAAGATGAGCCTCCTGTAGCCACCCACCCTGTCCATCCCACAGTCTCTCAGCTTGCTTGCTCTGTTGCATCTACGAGCAAACATAAGAAGTGGGCCGGCGGCCATGCGGGATCCTGCTGGATGGGCTTGTTAGACCCACCACTGTGAGGCAAGGCAGGTGTTGGGGTGTGGATGTCCTGGCTGTGGGCCTTGAGGTAAGCCAGGATGGGATGTGTGGGGCAGCTCCAGCCCCCCCACCTCACGGTGCCAACACTAGCATGTCGCAAGGCCTCCTACCCCATTGCGGCCATGAGCAAGAAAGAAGATGTGGGCCTCCCGAACATGGGGAAAAAAAGAAATCCCCAAATATAATCCCATGTGTTTATTTTGAAGCCCCAAAATATATAAGACCTCGTCCTATTTTTGGGGAAACATGATAGATCTCTGAAATCCATTGGGACTATTTTGTATTGGGTGAAAACTAGTGATCCATCAAGATTTCAAGGATTGAGTGCTTTGGAATGCTGCAGGGGAAGGAAGGGTAAATTTGTACCATACATATTATCTGTAGTTTAATTAAGGTATGCCAATCACTTGTTGCCAAGCAAAGGTTGTACTGGGCTTTAGTGTGATCCAAAGCTCAGAGGAAGATTGACAACTTATCCTGCCTGAGGGAAAGCAGATTATCTATTCACATGTCAAAGAAATATTTGTTGAATAAATGGGAAAGCTTACAATTACACAAAGTTCTATAAATGGACCCTGGTCAAAACAAATGCTTCAGTTTAGATTATGGTAACATTACCTTACCTTCATTGCTTTAAATCAGTAGGACTTTAAAGTGTTTAGCATTCGTTGAAATAGGTCCGCCTGCATCTTGAGATCAATGGCTTTCTTTTAGTAAGTCCCATTAGATTCTGTAGAACTTAATAGAGAACGTTGTTTCAGATTGCAACCTCGGTTTTCCAAGAAGTTCCACCAAACTCTTCTTTTCTCTATTAAACTGGGGATTCTGAAACTTTGCGATACTGCAAGCATCAAAAATGAACTGAACTTCTGTGATCCACCCACGAGTAAAACAAATGCTTTCATTGTGGTTAGGGTCTTGCAAAGAATAAACATATCAGAATAAACATAACAGAGGAAAAGACAAAGCTTCTCCTCTGGAAATATTGAATTACTAACAAGGGCATTCAAAACCTTTGCTAGACCAATACTTAAATACAGCTCATCTGCCTGGAATCCGCACTGTATATCAGACATTAATACAATTGTCCGAGTCCAGAAGTATTTCACGAGAAGAGTATTACACTCTGCTCGCAACAGAATACCCTATATCATCAGGCTCGAGATTTTGGGTTTGGACAATCTTGAACTATGCTGCCTACGGTTGGACTTAAGTGTAGTACACAAAATTATCTGCTACAATGTCCTACCAGTCAATGATTACTTCAGCTTCAACCGCAACAATACAAGAGCATACAACAGATACAAACTCAATGTTAATCGCTCCAAACTTGATTGCAGAAAGTACGACTTCAGCGACAGAGTAGTCAATGCCTGGAATCCACTACCTGACTCTGTTGTTACATTCTCAAACCCCCACTTCTTCAACCTCAAACTATCCACTACTGACCTCACCCCATTCCTAAGAGGTCTGTAAGAGGCATGCATAAGTGCACCATCGTGCCTACCATCCCTGTCTTATTGTCCCCATTTATTTATTTATTTATTTTGATTTGTCAATTGCTTACAAGGTAATAGGTATAAGTATATACATAGTTATGAATACATGAAATGGGTACATATAAGAAAAATAAAAGAAACAATAGGACAGGGATGGTAGGCACGTTAGTGCGTTTATGCACGCCCCCTACAGACATTTTAGGAAAGGGGTGAGGTCAATAGTAAGGTTAAAGTTTTTTGGGAAACTCTGGGGAAGAAACCACAGAGCCAGGTAGAGTATTCCAGACATTGACCACTCTGTTGCTGAAGTTGTATTTCCTGCAATCAAGTTTGGTGCAGCTAACCTTGAGTTTGTATCTATTGTGTGCTCTTGTGTTGTTATGGTTGAAGCTGAAGTATTCATTGACAGGTAAGTCATTGCAATGTATGATTTTATATACCATACTTAGATCAGATCGAAGACAGCATAATTCAAGGTTTTCTAGGTCTAGAATTTCAAGTCTGGTGTCATAAGGTATTCTACAATGAGTAGAGGAGTGGAGAACTCTTCTTGTGAAATATTTCTGGACTTTCTCAACTGTGTTAATATCAGATAGAACTGTGTTAATATCAGATAGAAGTTCATGATTTGCTGTTGGGTTGGCACGCTTTTTTATGGTATAAGGGAACTAAAACACAGGGTTACTTTAGAAGACATTATATACGGGAGTCTTTGTGGTTAAATTGGGAGAAGATAAAAAGACAATGTTATTTGAAAATTCCAGTTTGGTTACTGACTATTGAAGCATTTTCCTATCCTATAATTTATAAGAAGGAACAAACAGTTAGATATGGGGAACTATTGGATGAAAAGGGTGAACTTAAATTGATACAAAATCTAGAGGAACAAGGTATAAAGATGAATTGGTTTTCATATGCGCAAATGCACTCAAGATATGATGAAGATTCTAAAACAGGGATTTTATGATAAACAGACTGATCTAGATAAGATTTTGACAGGTACTGATGAAAAGGTGATTGAAAAATTATATGGTTATTTATTGGGAATTAAGCTAGAGGAAGAACAAGTTAAAGAAACTATGATTGTTTGGGGGAAGAATTTTGGATATGGGATTGATTTAGAGAAATGGCAAAAACTATGGTCGCAAAATTATAAAATGACAATGTCAACAGCTTATAAAGAAAATCTGTATAAGATGTTTTACAGGTGGCCACTTTCCCCCAACAAGCATAGCAAGAATGTTCAAGAATAAATCCAAAAAATGCTGGAAATGTCATCAGATACCTGGCTCATATTACCATATGTGATGGACTTGTGAGGATGCTAGAAAATATTGGACTAAAATCCACATGTGGCTGGAAAAAATGACAAAGAAACACATAGATTTGAAACCTGAGTTTTTTTTTATTGGGAATCTTACCAGATACATACAGTAAAGACTTGAAATATCTGATTGCGGCTAGGATTGTATTTGCTAAAAATTGGAAAAATGAGAAAATACCATTACAGGAAGAAATTATTAAGAAAATATTGGAATGTGCTGAGATGAGTAGATTGATATTTGAAAGAGAGCAAGAGGATAAACAATTCTATAAAATTTGGGACCTTTTCTATGAATGGTTGGATGATAAAATATAATAATAGAATATTTAGAATGTTAGATAATAAGGAATATTTTTTCTTTTTCTTTTTCTTTTGTTATTTGACATCATATCTATAAAGTATTTTTAGGATAGATTTGGTATGATTATATGATTTGTTATAGAATAAACTACCTGAATTATAGTTATCTCATAATGTATGAATGAATAAAATTATAGTCAAATGATTTTTTAATAGCGATACTAGGATATATAAGTTTGGATTGATAATATGAGTTATTATGTAATGTAACTGTAATTGAGACTACGAAATGAATGCACAAAACCGATGAACCAACCGACACACTGTTTGTAGATATGTATGGAAGAGAGCTGATGTTTTTATGTTTTGTTTGTTTTGTTTATTTTTAAAAAATCAATAAAATTGTTTTCAAAAAAAATTATCAGATACGTAATGTGGGTTCCAGACTGATGAGCTGTTTTCAAGAATTGGTCTAGCAAATGTTTTGTATGCTCTAGTTAGTAGTGTGATGTTACCAGAGAAAAAGCTACGTAGGATTAGGTTAACAACTCTTAATGCCTTTTTGGCTATGCAGTTACAGTGGACTCTAGCACTTAGATCATTAGAGATGAGTATTCCAAGGTCCTTTACAGAGCTTGGATCATCAACAAGATCTTGACCATTCAGCTTGTATTTTATTTTCTGATTTTTTTTGCCAATATGTAAGACAGGGCATTTATTTGTTGAGATTTGAAGTTGCCATTTTTTTGACCATTCTGATACATAGTCAAGATCTTTTTGAAGGGTAGCAGTATTGTCTGTGGTATTGAACAGCTTTACATCATCAACAAAAAGAACGCAGTTGCTGTTAATATGATCACAGAGGTCATTTATGTAGAGTATGAAGAAAGTTGGTCCTAGAACACTGCCTTGGGACACATCACTGTTGACAGGTACAAATTTGATAGGACACTCCCAATTTTGACCATTTGTTGTCTGTTTGACAGGAATGCTTCTATCCAGTTATGCAGTTGTCCAGAGATACCATAAGATTTTAGTTTTAGGAGTAGTTTGTCGTGTACCACTGAATCAAAGGCTTTACAGAAGTCTATGTAGATTGCGTCTATTGTTTTGCCCTGATCGAGTTGTGTAGTCCATATATTTTTGCAGTGTAAGAGTTGCAGATTACAGGATAGTTTTTTTCTGAAACCAAATTGTTTATTGGAGAGTAGGTTGTTTGTGTCTAAGTGGAGGATAATGGATTGGTTAATAATTGATTCCATGACTTTACAGGTGATGCAGCATAAGGAGATTGGTCTGTGATTTTCAACTAGGCTGGGGTCTCCCTTTTTGAAGATGGGGATGACTGTGGCTTGTGACCATAGGTTAGGCAAGGAGCTGGTCCTGAAAGATTTTTCAAAGATTATGCTTAGAGGTTTGGCTATGGCAGTGGATAGCTTTTCAAAGAAGTAGCCACATATTCTGTCCGGTCCAATAGATAGAGATGGTTTTAGATTGCGTAGTGCTTTTTCAATATTGTCTTCTGTAAAATCGATATGTATTAGATCATTGTAGTTGTCTGTAGTTTGGCTAGGAAATACTGGACATGATCCATTGCTGTTTACAAATACTGAGCCAAAGAATGTGTTAAAGAGGTTTGCTTTAATGGTGTTGTCATTGCAGTCTTTACCATTAGGTCCTATCAGGGGTGGGATGGACCTTGAGTCTTTTAGTTTGTTGTTTAGAAATTGTAAAAAGCACAGGTGGAATTGGTGTGTAGAAGGTTTTCCTCTTGTTTAATGTGATAATTGGTGCATTCAGTCTTTATCTGGTGGCATAAATTTTTGTATTGGCTTTTGAAATTGGCAACGTGACCAGATTTGTTTTTCCGCCAGAGTGATCTCTTTTTGGATTGAAGTTTCCTTATTGTTATGGGTAATCTGTTTTTTTGTTTGTTTTGGAAATTGTTGTTGGTACATATAGTTTGATGACTCTTTTGACTTCAAGTAAAAATATGTTGTAATGGTCTTCAACAGTATTGCATTCAGTGAATAGAGACTGCCAATCAAGGGATGAGAGATCATTGTCTATAAGATCATAGTTGCCTTTTTTGAATTATAATTGGGGATTACATCATTGTGATGATTTTTGTGTGGGCGTATGTTGAGACAAAAGTCAATCATATTGTGGTCACTGCTGGAAAAGGGTTCTTTAGTTTGTATTCCGTAAATTAAATTCAAACTATTGCAGAAGATGAAATCGAGGCAGTTGTTTAGTCTAGTGTTGTTGGTTACTAGTTGTTCCAGTCCCAGATTTGTAACAGCATTGTAGAAGGTTGCGTGTGTGGGTTCAGTTGTACATTCATTTAG